CTACAATTTATAACAAAAAAATTTTTTTTCTAAATAAATGGTTCATATTGATTGATATAAAAAAGAGTATTTAAAACTTTAACCTCTTCTTTTTCCAAAATCTCAGCAAAACTCATGTATATCCTTTCTGAATTAAGACTCAGACATAAATGCCGAATAATTAGACTTCCTCTGTTTTCTAATAATTTGCGATCAGTAGCAAACAATTTCAACAAGTCAACCATAAACTTTGGAAAATATTCATCTTGAGAACTTGAAGATAATTGTGCAAGAAGCTGAAGATCACGTTTTGCAACTTCTTCTGATGGATCTAAGAGAAGTTCCAATAGATTTGGAAAATACCCATCATCAAAAGCAAGTATCTGTAAATTAAATAAATTTAAATTGTTTGTTAGCTCAAGCCTATGAACATGCCTCGAACCTTTTGCAAAATTTGTATTTTTCAATTCTTATTTATTTATTATTTATTTATTATTATGTTTTATTCGTAATATCGCTTATTTAAACATTTATTTATTTTTAGTGCTGAAATAGAAATCACCGTTAATTTGTTGATCCAAGTTGATAAACTTGTTCAATTATTGGAATCGCCAGTTTTTACCTGTAATTATCCAAAAGAAATTTCGATTTATTTCTATTTGTCAATTGATTGATTTTTTCAATTTGTTGTTAATTAATTGATTTCTTATTCTAGATCTCAGATTACAACTACTTGAACCAGACAAATACCCACATTTGGTAAAATGTTTATATGGATTATTGATGTTATTACCACAAAGTAGTGCATTTGCAAGTTTAAAAAATAGGTTGACAAGTGTCAGTTCTATGGGATTTTTGCATTTAATGCCAAAAAGGTTAATATTATACACACATGCATACATACATACATATGTATATATATGTACAATAAAAAGATATCAGATCATTAAATTTTTTTAAAAATTTTTTATTTAATAAGTCCAAATGATTCAAAAAAATCAATTAGTAAATTATTATCATCAAGAGATGAAGGAATTAGGTTCCAAGATTTGTTGACGCATTTCAAAACGGTTCAAACAAAACATGAAACAATTCGTAAACAAGGTAATTTAAATATAATATTTAACGTTTTTTGATGATTGAATGAATAAATATTGGATAAGATTTGTTTATGATTAATTAACCGCAATCAATTATATTTATAGCTCGTACTATTAAGAAAAGTAATACTACACGTAGAAGAAGAAATCAAGATTAGATATTTCCCTTATATATTTATTTTTTCTCTTTGTAACTATTTAAATACATAGACTTTTTATATTTATTTATTTATTTATCTATTTGTTTGTTTATTATTGTATTAGTATGTGTGTATATATATTTATTCATTTTCATTTATTTTTATCATAAGAGACATTTTTTTAAATAAACTATTATTATTATATACTATTACTATTTATTAAACTTGCAAATTCGAATTGTATATTTAAATCGTTTATTATTGTTGTTAAATGGCTGGTCAGAAAAATCAGAAAGAACAAATTTGGAAATGACTTTTTTAAAAAATAATCAAAAAACAAGCTGTTCAATGATGATAGTAAAGTTTCAAAGATAGCTTCTTCTGCTAATAATGACAAACAACAACAACAAAATATTTATCCAGTTCATAGGGCAACTCCTTCTACTAATTCCAACTTGTCTTCATCAAAACTTTCATCAAATTCATCTGAAACAATCACTTCTTGAAATAAATATTAATTATACACAAATTTAAAATATATCTTAAAAAACGCGTAAAAATCTTACTATGTAGATCAGTGCCATAAATAGATATAAAAAAATAA